CGCGTTGGGCATTGTATTTGAAAATAAATTTCTACAAGAGTTCTATTACTCCAGAAAGAAAAGAGTCACTTGTAGATAAGGTATTTCAGCAAATACATGTGGTATGTAATGAAATGGGTTTTGCTTTGCTAAAATACATTAAAATGGGACCAGGCCTGAAGAATCTAAGCAAACAAAGCCAGTTAAGCCTCATAAGTGACCTTGACCCTCGCTTGGTTTGCAGACATAAATAAATCTTAACGAGCCAGTTTTTGTAAATGCCTGTGTTCATGAAAAGTAAAAGTTAAGGCTGACCAATCAGAAGCAACCAACTAACTTATAGTTATGGAACTAGAACTTTCCAGCAAGATAAATGAAATATGGCAACAGTGTAACCATAATTAATCAAATATTTGTTTGCTTTACTTCCATGTCTATCCTATAAAAGTCTTCCCCTATATTCCCTCCAAGGAGCCCAGGACCCACTTTCGGTTTGGAGCTGCCCAATTAATGAATCACTGATTGTTCAGATAAACTTTTACAAATTTTATGGTGTTTATGTTTTAACAGCTCCATGTCTCTGATGTAAGCATGTATATAAGAGAAAAAGAGGATATTCTGCTTTGTATTTAAATATACCCTAAAGGCGCAATGAATTAAAAATGTGAAATAGCACATATAATCCCAAAACATATTTATTAAAACTTAAAACACTTGCATAATCCTGGTACTGAAAATATGATATGTGGTTTTACCTCTCTGGCTTGAAATTCTAAGGATTCTGAAGCACACACCAAAGAGCTAAAAGAGCTCAAATGTATACCAAATGACATTTTGTTATTCTTGCAAACCTGGATTTCATCCTCCCTTTATTAAATTGTATTTTCTTGGTTGTCTGAGCAGACAATCATTGCAAGCTACTGAATCACTTACATCTCCCATCAATTTCAAAACAACACATTCAAGTAACACTGTCAATAAACCTACTTCAGATACCTACCATTTCTGTTGCTGTGCATTTACTCTAAGTTTTAGAAATCATAATGGAATGAGGCACTAAAAATAAAACAAACTAAACTTTTCATTATGCTTTAGAAAGGTTTGCCTAGCTATACTTAAAACAATGCTTTGGAGTATCATTTTCATGTCTGCATTTCAGATGAGGAAATGGAATTTTAAGGAGTACATCCAAATGACGAATGAACATATGAAAAGGTGCTCATAAGTTCATGAGAGAAAGGCCACAATAAGATACTGCCACACACCCACCTGAATGACTGAAATTGAAAAACTGACGAGTACCAAAGGTGAAGTTAAGCGAAAGATGGCAAACATAAAAGAGTGATGAGTCACAATACATGATTCCATTTGTATTAAGTTTTCCTCTGCGGAGAAAGCAGAGTGGGAGAAGGATTGAGGGGTACAACAGGAGGCTTCTAGGGTGCTGGCCATGTTCTATTTCTTGATCTGGCCGGAGGTTACATGGGCATGTTCACTTTGTTAATAATTCATCGAGCTGTATACTTAAAAACTTGTATACTATTCTGTATATAGGTTATAAAATAAAAATTTAATAAGTTTATTAAATTTTCGAAAATGATACTGTCATATGAAGCTATTGTTCCTCTAAATAGGAAGAGTGTGTGTGTATGTGTGTGTGTGTCTCAATTCACGTACCACTTTGAAATAAGTAGTTCATTATCACCGCTTATAAATGAGGAAACTGAGGTACACAGACATTAAATAACATGCCCAAGATCCCACATCTAGTTGGTGGTAAAGACAGGACTGGAATCCAGGCAGTCTGGTACCAGAGCCCCACTAAGAATCCATTCTTAAAACTATTCTGTGGCACTTAGGTAGCACATTCCTTTGTGGCTATTTGAAGGGCTTTGAAAATACGACTCTAACTTGGACTAAACCAGGAAGCAAAGTCCAGTCAAGTGAGGCACCTTCACCAATGCCAATCATTTACCAATGCTTTTCAAAATCAGGCCTCCAGGGGCTGGGGATAGTGGCTCATGCCTATAATCCCACCATTTTGGGAAGGCACAGGTGGGAGGATTGCTTGAGGACAGGAGTTTAAGACTAGCCTAGGCAACACAGCCAGACACCATCTCCACAAAAAAATAAAAAAGAAATTAGCCAGGCGTGGTGGCGTGTGCCTGTAATCCCAGCTACTTGGGAGGCTGAAGCAGGAGGATGCCTTGAGCTTAGGAGTTCAAGGCTGCAGCAAACTATGATCATGCCACTGTACTCCAGTCTGGGTGACACGGGGAGACCCTGTCTCCAAATGAATGAATAAATAAATGAAATTAAAAAGTAGGCCTCCAGAGAGCAACAGACTGGCTTAACTTTGACAGAGTTGGGGTTATTGTGCAGACTCGTGCCGACTGCCCTTTGCTTGTTATTCACTTACACGAGATGTTTTATATACTCTACATGTTGTTGTACTCATTTTCTACACCTTTGGAGTTCTAAGTTCAAAATTAAAAGCAGAAACCAAACCATAATTTAGGAAAACAAAAACCCAGAGATAAAATTCTATATAGTGCTCTTCTTTTAAATATGTGTTTAAATTCTTAACAGACAACTATAAAACCCTAGTTTTGTCTTCTGTTTTATATCACTTTTATTCCCTATGATACAAAGAATACTACTGTCTAGAATTCTTTAAATCAAAATGAGGAAGACCACTAGCAGGACAAGCTCTATTGCTTTTCTCTCATTTCAAGCTCAGCTGGAAAATAAGAGAATTATAAAATATTTAATGATACACTTCATATGAATCCAGTTTAGTAAGTGAGTTATCTTGAAAAGACTCTTGTTTTATAGACAGTTTGGTACAGGGACTTAATTTCATATATATTGCAAACAAACATGAAACAAAACAGTTACAAAGATACTTGCATTAGCTCCAAGTGAAAACTCAGACTTTGTACTAATAGTTAGGCAAAATAAATATAAGTTTCAGCTCCAGTGCATTTACTGCCATAAACTACAGCCAGTTTCCTTACAAAGTGAAAATCAACTCATTTATACTATTTTTTAGACTCTGTTCTCTGAATTTTGGGAAATGATGCCAGGATTGAAAATACCCATTACATTTCTATGCTTTTAAACCAGTTCTGAAGTTTCAAGATTTGGAAAATGTACTGTGAGATGAGCTGTGCATTCATTTTCCTGATATAGCCTGAGAAAAATAAAATAACTCCCACATACCTTTATCTACACAAGATGACAGCTAATCTCAAAAAAGTTGAAATAATCCAAGCACTTGAAAATATTCCATAGGGTAAAGTAAAAATTTTTAAAGAGAAATCTTTTTTTTTTTTTTAAAAAAAAAAATGGTTCTGCCAGTGATTTTTCCTCCCCCCTCCCTACCCTGTACTTTTACAAAATTAAAATTCAAGATCAATCACTAAGGAGAGATGTTTCAAAGAAAACCCAACGACTGTCCTGGTAGATTAATCCCTCAATGGCTCTCTATTATTCTTAGCACTGGATAATCTCAGGGGACAGTGAAAGTCCAGTCTTTTATTACAGCCATCTGTCCTCTGGGTGCATTGTGGCTCAAACAGCTTAAAGAGCTGTGTGTTATGTCCGTGGTATTTATAGATTTCAACTGGTTTGGGAATCTCTGGGAGGAAAATGGTTCAGCCCTTAGACAGGAATAGGAAGAAGTAATAAGTGAATTAATAAATGATTAGAGACCGCTGATGATAACCAATAAAAACAAAGCGCTTCCATAAACAGAAAAATTTTTCATTTTGCAAATACTTTCTTCATTGCTGGGTGCCTTTGAATAACTTTGCTTTGCCTGAACAGTACTGAAGAACCGAACATAAGTACCGACAATATCTTACCATTTATTTTATGAATCAGAAGGAAAGAGTTAGCAAAACAGAAAGTCACCAATCATAAATAAAACAGATAAGCAAACTACTAAGGTAAAATAGCATGCGTGAAAAACAAATAGGCTTTGTCAGTATACTTTATGGAAAGCCTACATATTAAGTTCAGACACATTTCTTAAAAAAAAAAGCAGTATTTTTTTCATACATGATGTTCTTAGTTGAAATTTAGATTTCCCGTGTGTTCAGAATTTTATTAAACCATCAAATTATTGATACTCTAACATATTTAGATAATGATTTTCAAATAAGTTTAATATCAAATGTAGTAGCATATACCTACCTCACAGGCGTTAAGGGAATCAAATGAAACCATGTACTTAGACATTCAAAAAATGTTGGTCTTGCCATGTAATAAGCATCCACCTAAAACCATGTCATCGTAGACAACTGAGTACCTACAGTTGAAACAAAGCACGTTTGCATTTAACTTGGTTACTAAACGAGCCGATTAAATATTCACTGAGTGCCTACGATGCACCTAGCATGGTGTGGTAGCTACGTTCTCGTCAGCTACACTGTAAGTTGAAAAGACACACAGGAGCAACAAGAGAAACTATGAAACCATGCAGTTATTCCATACTCAGTGTATACGTTACAAACGGTGACAGTCCCAGATGAAAATTAAAAAGCATATAGAAGGAGGTGGGGCCATTATTTCCCAGTGATATATGAATCAATAATCCTATAACTGTCCAATATTATAATGCCTTCAGCATCTTTAAGGAAGGAATCTGAGGCTGACTCCTCTCTAAGTCATGCAAGCATGGGACTAATCACTTCAGTGTAAATTACTCAAATGCCATTCCATGCCAACCAATGTTTCACTGTTTCTCGTGTCAAATCCTTTATGGTCCCTTCCACCTCCCAGAACTTTATGTATACACAGTTTCCAAAATAAGATCCTGGGGGGGTGTTTATAAGCTTTCCATCCAAGATGAGAGTTAAATCATCACGTGCTCCAGTGGAATATGAAGCAGAATTTGCGTCTGGGGCTGCGAAGGACGTGTTGACTTATTGGCACTCTCGGCAGCAGGAACATCAGATCAGCTCTTGATGGCGAGAAATCAAAGCATTATGCAATCTCAGTACAAAGAGAGAGGTTACCTTAGGATCAGCTGTGAGCAATTTGAATGCTTGATATACTTGAGCTTCCTTTACACCGCCACCAAGATCCAAGAAGTTGGCTGGCTTCCCACCGTTAAGGAAAATGATGTCACAGGTAGCCATGGCAAGCCCGGCACCATTCACTGTGAAATGCAATGGGCACACAAGGGGACAGGATAAACTTAGCAACATGAAGGGCCCATAAACTTTTCCCCTCACCCATATTGCCGAAAGAGAACCCTGTCATTCCAACGCCCATTTCTTCGCTGTTTGGGAAGTTCCATTCAACCTGATCCATTCATAGCCTTTTAGGATGAAGAACCAGGACAAGGGTACACAAAGAATAAATAAAAAGACCTAGGAATGAGAAAATGGATTTATTGAGAAGCCAAGCTGGAAAACAGGAAGAAGGAAAGAATTTAAGCAAATAATCAATTCAGGCCAGTATTAAAAGAGAGAGAGCATAGTTAGGTTCTGGAAAGAGTTAAGTTTCAGAGAATTTGGAAGGTGGGGGAAAAAAAGCTATGAAAAGACGTCTGGGCCTGTAAATTATTCTCTTTTTAATGCCCTTTAGGAGACTGGAGTAAATAACTGGAATTCTCTTAAATTTTTGCTTGCTGAGAATATGCTCCTTTGAATGTGGCATCTCTCTGGGACTGAACCACAGGATTTCATACTTTTTTACACTTAGTGCAGTCATCAGGTTTATATAACGTTACCTGGATGAACTTAGAAAACAAATGAACAAAGGGCAGCACCAAAAACAGCATTCTTACCTCTTTGTTCCTCTTTCAAATTAATGTACGAAATGTTCACTAGCAACACAATCATTGAAACTAGAACCATAGGCCACAGGGCTGGGCGTGGTGGCTCAGGCCTGTACTCCCAGCAATTTGGGAGGCTAGGGCAGGAGAATCGCTTGAAGCCAGGAGTTTGAGACTAGCCTGGGCAACATAGCAAGATCCTGGCTCTTAGAAACAAAAATCGTAGAACCAAAATATGCCAACATCTTAAGAGGCTTTCTTAAGAAACCAGGTAGAGTTTCGACAAGGACATTCTTGTTTTCCAGAGCTAAGTTTTATTGCTCAATTGTGCTTCTTAAGCTTAATTACATGAAACTACTTTCCTCGGGTTAGAAAGGAAAAAAGAAACCCCTGAAGACAGCAGAAACTTTCCAGGTAAGGTGCCCTTCGCTTTTTTCCTGACTCTTGAGCTCCCCAGACAAACCTCTGAACTCTGACTACTTTAATTAAGTTTGGGGCAACTAAAATAAAAATGGTTTATATAGGATCTTCAAACAACATGAAACGTGTGCATCATAGCTTTTGAGGCTGCTACTTGGTCAAATCAGGCACATTCCTGCAGTGGCTACCAAGAATCTGTATTTAATTTGCCCTGAACACACCACTGTGTCTTTGTCCTTTCGAAATGCCGACACATATTGACAGAGATTACCTTATCACGATGAGAGCAATGTGAGTGATCTGGTACACTACGGTTATTGCTCCAGTACAAAGAACGAGCTTTTGGTATGACTTGTAATTGGATGTCATTTTCTATTGTATTGAACAGCAACCTATTGGACAAGGCCTCTTCAATTCTGAAGATAATGGTACTTGTTGGTTTAATGAACTACAAATCTTTTTTATTTTAATTCCATTAAGATTAAGACCTCTGTTTCCAGTGCAATGAATTGGTTCTACCAGAAACACAGTCCTGTGCAATTAAGTCCAAAGCACATAAATCTTGGAACTGTAAGCTGTGAACAACAACAGAAATTGTATTGCCTCTAATGGACTCATTCTTATCTCAGCCGAATAAGCCATTTTAACAAATTGAGATAACTATGATGAGGTCAATTGTTTTATTAATAAACTAGCATTAACAGATTAAACATTTTATCACTTGGTTATCACAGAATCTGAAACTTTAGTCGTATGATTAAATTGGATGTCCTCCTCTACTTCCTCTGCAAAAGCAGTTTTGTTTCAAACCCAAAATTTCGGTGTAGTTCCGAACATATTAACACTGACTTCGGTAGTAAAAGTTCTTAATTTTTTACTAGGCAAAGTTTAAATTAAAGAGATGCTTTCAACCAGTCATTCCCAACTGGGGTGATTTTGCCTACCTCAGACATCTGAAATGTCTGGACACTTACTTTTTGTAAATAATTAATTTATGAAGGTTTTGACAACTGGGGGCTGTTAGTCGCATGCAGAGGCCGGGATGATGCTATATATCTTAAAATGCAGAAAATCTCCCCCAAATCTCAGTAGTACCAGCTGAGACACTCTGCTTTGAACCAGTGACCATTGATCCGAATGAAACTTGAGGAAGAAGTTTGGGATAGTTTCCTAAGAATTTATGGCTATAAAAAACTTGCACGTTTACTTCCTATTGGTGATAACATTTCAGAAATCAGCTGTTCTGAAATTCTGTAAAGATGCACAAAGCATTCTTCTGATAGAGCTGGTTCTTACCAAAGCAAGCAATGTTCCCATCCAGTCCTATGTACTTCAGATCGTATCTGGCAGCTTCATTTTCAATGGGCTCATTCTCTGACTTGTCGTCCATAGCGAAGATATTCTTTTGTCGGAACTCTGCGTTGTCATCGAAGTTTATCTTGGCATCAAAGCAGACAACTAAATAAAGAAGAAAAGAAACACACCTGAATATCTCTTGGGATCTGTAAATTAAGTTCTCCAGGCCAGTAGGCACAGGAGAAAGAAAAATAAGATATTGTCGTTTTTGTTTTGTTTTGCTCATGATACACACAAGCAAGAGAAGCTGCTATGAATTCCTTCACCTTTAAACTTTAGGGCTACAAATACAGATAAGACTCGGCCCCTGTTCTCAAGGGACTTATTTACATTCAAGTAAGGAGCATATTAATTTGTATCTGTTGGTCTCTGCTCAATAAAATAACAACGAACATTACCCATTAAAAGCTACAGACCGGCACAGTAACATACTGCTTTCATTCACCGTTTTTATTATATTTCTTATTTTTAGTGTTTAACCACTGATAATCACTTTCCCTGTACAAAGAGAGACGAGACAATAAACTAAGCCTTTTGTCCTCCTTTGTCCCTCTTCTGACATTGCAAAGTGAAATTTTTATGGAATCGTTATCCTCTCAAATATTCCAAAAGATTTAGCAGCAAAATGCTGGGCCGAATCAATGATTTTTTTTTTTCATTTGATCCTTAACTAACTCTGTTAACATTTAATTTTTAAATTAAAAAATAAAATAAAATCGTGTATTGCTGACCCTTGAACAACTGGGTTTCAACTGCGTGAGTCTACTTACGTGTGGATTTTTATTTGAGGCATTCAAAACTCGCAGATAGGGAGGTTGACTTCTCGCATACGGAGGTTCCGACCGTATGTTTACAGTGTACAACACGACGTTGACATTCACACACTCAGCTAAGTGATTACTACAGTGAAGCAGATTAACAGACTCATCTCCTTACACAGTTTTTGGTTTTAGTTTTTTTTTAATGTGTGAAATCACTTGAAATATACTCTGTATAGCAATTTCCAGTATATCTTACGAACTCTGTTACCTTGATAAAATAACCTAGTTCCTCTCTGGCCTCGGTTTTCTTATTGGAAAAAAATGGGAATAACAATCACGGAAACTAGAATCCAGGCCACTTGTTTTCTCATTTCCAAAGTTCTTATTTATTAACTGTTAGTATGGAGATATTTTCAGAAGGAACCTGATCTCCCTAATATTGAAGCTCCCTAGACCTGGGGACCGATTGATTCTGGGTCAAAAAGAATAGAAATATTAATACGTGAACATCTAGAGGGAGACTCTGGACTCTTAGTATTCAACTTCTGTAATGAAAACAGAGCTGAGATTCAAAGACCCCCTCGCTCTGGGGTCTGCTAAAACCAGGCGGTGCCCTTGATTCCTGTGGGACCATCTGTGACTCTTCTGATTCGAGTCACAAAACACTAGGAGACCACGACGGCTCAGCTACAATGCCAGGAGCCAGGGCATTATCAGCACTACTGTCTCCACACTCTGGTGCTGGTAGAAATCTCCACGTTGTTGGTCAGGAGACCCGGACATGGCAAAATTCATGCCACACTAGGGAGAGACCACAGAGCGCCATCCTTGATGTACCAGTGTACGGTCAGGGGCAGACTGCAGTGGGAAGGTGGCATTACTGGTGATTTGGCTCTGCCCCCCCCTTTTTTTTTATCTCTCCTGTAATGGAAATTGGTTGTGTGTGACGTCACGCCATCATAACATTCTTTTACGTAACTTGGAATATCGGTAGGCGAGAATCTTTGATCAAGAATCTACAGATACTACTCATTCTCTTCCAGCATTGATGATAGTAGGTTCCTGCCTCTTGAAAGGGAGGCAGCCACTGAACATATCTCACTGAAAAGCAATGGCCATAGTTTGCTAATTCCACTTGCTTCCTAAGAAGAGAAAACAAGGGTGCATGCAGCACCCTCGGGTAATAGACCCTGGGTAGAGGGGTTCTCCCAGGATCTTCCTACCACAATAATCAAGCACTTTGACACAAATCGGTGAGAACAGACCTATAATCATCTAAGAACACTTGGCATACACATAAATCCAGACCACAAATTACTTAAAGGAGCACCGAGTGACAAGAGAGAATCCTTTCTGGAAGGTAATGGAAGTTAATGTCTACTTGGGTCCTTAATCTTGCCACAAAATGCCCAACCACTTTGCCTACACACTGTGAATACATGGAGTGAATGAGTAATTACTTCTCAGAATATTGAAATCTTAATGATGGAATCCTTCAATTACCAAAGGGAATTGGCCAATGTTCTCTGCTTGCTACAATGGCATTTTCTCAGCGGTTAATGACCAGCATAATAATCGATAGAAAAGCAACTCCAGTCTTGGCTTTCCGCTGGGTTTATAAATACATTCTAATTAATTTATTAGTAATTTTAGTTCTTCCATTACTCACTGGCAAGACTACTTGTAACTGACACCTTCGAAATAAATGGGCAAAGGCTATCAAATTGACTTCCTAAGTGAAGAGTTTCGAATAAAAGAATTCTTGGTTGAGATCAATAAACCAGTAAATCAAAACAGCTCCAACCTGACCTCTGCCCCTTACAAAGACTACTACAGTTACTAGCTGCTGGAGAGAGAGTATAATTAATGGGTATGCATGCAAAGTTCAGAAGGCAGTCCCAAGTAAATGGCTGCAAAACGAGATTTTCCAAAGTCGCTTTCCTGAGGCAGGAAATTCTCTTCTGGGGAACACGTTGACAAAATGCACAGTGAACTCAGATCTTCAAGAAGGTGACTGAGGGGTAAAAGGGGTTATGTATACAATGGCCCCATGCCAACCGTCCCCCCTCTGTAGAGAAAACTGAATGACCTGATTGGGTCGATGTATGTATGTCCAAGTGCTTTGTAAGTCAGGGGACTTAGGAGTTAAGAAGGAGGAGGGGTATCCAAAATCGAATTGCCACTCTAAAGGCTTGTGACTATGGTAAGAAGCTTGGGATTTTCATTCCCACCCCCGGAATCCAGGGAGGGGAAAGGGGCTGGTGACTGATCGTGCCTATGCGATGAAGCTTCCATAAAAATCCCTCAACTATGAGGTTCTAAGAGCTTCCAAGTTGCTGAACGCACGGAGGTGCTGGAGGTGGCTCCCCTGCAGAGGGCATGGCCACTCCCGACCCCTCCTCGCCTGTCTTGCTCAGTCTTCTACGCCTGGCTGTTCATTTATATCCTTTAAAATATCCTTTGTGATAAATCAGCAATAGTAAGTAAAGTGTTTCCCTGAGTTCTGTGAGCCATTCCGGCAAACGACTGAGTCCAAAGAGGGGGTTACAGGAACCCCAAATTTATATATAGCCAGCCAGTCAGAGAGACCAGAGCCCCAAGCTTGCAACTGGCATCAAAAGTAGGGGCAGTCCTGTGGGACTGAGCCCTTAACCTGTGGGATCTGACCCTAACTCCAAGCAGATGGTGTAAAAATTAAACTGAATCTCACAGGACACCTAGCTGGTGCTACAGACCAGTGTGGGAAACACTCACCCTTGTGGTCCCAGAAGTGCTCTGTGTGCAGAGTCCAGAAGGAGAAACAGTTTGGTTTTTTTTTCTTATTACACACAGTTCCAAGCACACACGTGTCTTCCTGTCTTACTGTCTCAGTCTACAACATTGTAGCACATAAATGCTTTTCCTTGAACTTGACAATGTAATGTAGACTTTGGCGTCAGAAACACCTGGGTATGAATCACAAGCCTGGCCCTTCCTAGCCAGCTAACCCTGGGCACATAATCTCTCTAAAGCCCAGCGGCCTTGTCTACACAATTCGATCGGTGTTTTCTACAACATGCTGTTGGTGGAATGAGAAACTGCATGCCAAGCGCTCAGCCTCCCAGACAGCGGGCCCTCACTGGCTGCTACGTTACTATCCTCCTATGCACACACAGCCTGTTCACACTTAAAGCTTTCCGTTGTCGCAGCCCAGGCTACCAAACTCTCTCCCGCTCTTCCCATCACTAAAAATTACCTGTACTTTGTCCCGTTCCTTTTATGATCCCAGGTTTCTGTTTAGAGCAAATCTAAGTGAATGTCCACTGGAGCTAACGTATGGAGAGATGACCTGTGGTTTCCAATAAAACGCCATCTCCTGAATACACAAGGGTTTTCCCAAAGGAAGGATTTCAATGATTGGTATTTTAGGCATCCTAATTGACAGATGAAGAGATTTTTTTTTTTTAGCTAAAGGATGAGGATAAAACAGAGGCCTTTAGTGACCCTCAAATCATATCACACCCACAATGTGTTTCTGCAGATAAAGTTGGACTGGAATGCACCCACACTCATGTGTGTACACATTTTCCACGGCTGTCTTCCCAAGACAGAAGCAGAGGTGAGTAGTTGTAACAGAGAGTGTATGGCCTGCAAACCCCCAAATATTTACTAACTGGAGCTTTACAGAAAGAGCTCGCCAATCCCTGCTAAATCACAATTCTCACTGTATTTGCATCCTGCTTTAACCAACTGACAGATGTTAACAGCCAGAGACATCATATTTTTATAGTGAAAGAGAAACACAGAAGAAGTACACTCTACTAACATGAAAACAAAAGAGTGTAACGAACAAAAGAAACAAAAATCTGTAGCTACACAAAAGAAGTAGATTAATCCTTGAATACTGACGGACTCTCACATGTTTATTTCGCCCTATAAGACTCTTCCAAATGCACTTCTGGAACCGAAGTGTCAGAAATGAACTGATGTCTATGTCGATAGCAGGTCAATAAAAATAAACTTGCATGCTTAAACCCGAGCTTTCTCATTTAATAAAATAATAAAGTATAGTAAAGTGTACTTTTGGAAGTGATGATCTTTCTTTTAGACATTAAGATTTTCCATGTCACATTAATGAAACCTTGTTTCTATGGAAAATTCATCTTGAACAAAGGCCACTCTGTGTACAAAGTGGGTGAAAAAACATACCTATTAATATTTATAAAACAATTTTCACCATCAAAAGCACATTGTTACATGCTCGATAGATTATACAAATGAATTTTCCTTCTGAACAAATATCAAAGAAAGCTGTGGTGCTTATATGCACAGGGTGTTTTTGTTGTTTTGTTTAGTGGTGTGAGATTCTGTGAGCTGCTAATTCAACCATCTAGATGGAGAATATGACTGACAGAGGCCTCTGACCCTGGAGCTTTAACAGAAGAATGTGCCACAGAATTAAACAAAAGAGAAATACATTTCAGAGGGGAGACTTACACATAAAAGAAACATAAAGACAGCAGGAAACAAGACTGTCATAATTAGTTTGAAAAATAATCTGTCTTCATGCAATGCATTGCGTTTGATTTGTGATAAATAACCATAATGTGCTATTGAAACGTGCCTTGCCAAGATGGCCTTAATAAAAGGCTGATAGTTTCGAATTAGTCCCACTTTCCATTAAATATTGATATTCCAAGACTTGCATACTTTTTTAGAACTTTTCTCCAGTTGCTTCGGAAAGAGAAAATAGATGTGGGGCAGGCACAAGGGGGTTGGGGGAGGTAGAGAGAACTGAAAATGTTCTTGAAGATAGCGCCTTGTGTATAAAGAGAGAAACAGAGAAACACCCACCAACAACATGGGCACTTGCTAACAAGAAGCAACAGGGTGGTTATTTAGGGAAAAGAATCATTAGGAGAAAAGGAATTTGATGTGCCAGTTAACTCTGGATCACCCAGCCTTAATTCTTAAGGAATCTTGGCCAGTTAGTCACTGCAGCAAATTGGGTCTCATTCCTTTAGCTCAATGAATGGAATTGGGCTCCAGCTAATGAAGATGGCTTCATGGAGGCATTCTTAATCTCTGGACCATGGATATGCTGGGTGAGATCATTCTCTGTTGTCAGGGACCATCCTGTGCAATGTAGTTTGTTTAGCATCGTGCCCAGCCTCTACCCGCTAGATGCAAGTAGCACAGCCCCCAAGTTGCGACAACCAGAAATGTCCCCAGACAATGCCAAGTGTCCCCTGGGGAACAAAATATGCACCCCGACCATTGAGTACCACATGCCTTAAGGACGCCAGAGAAAGAAGTCTGTGTGCAGAAAAGAGCTGGCTGAAGGTGGGAAGAAATTAAACGTTGACATATAATCTCACAGGAGCTAGCAAAATGCATGAACAGGTAGGTCGATAAATAAATAATGATAAAACAATTGTTCCTTACTTGGCCACAGGATAAATGAATGGATTTAGCATGGCAGTTGGACAAGCAAGGAAAATACAGTTAATTTCTCTTTGACTATTTAAATGGCAGTTTACTTTGGTTTCAATATGCTTGGGTCACTCTGGTAGCCGTGTTTTGACTCAGGGCCGGTCTTCTACCAGGGAAACAGCGTATTCCCCACAGCGGGTGATTGCTGCTCAGTTACTGGCCACAGGCATGCACCTGTGACCCAAGCACGGCCAATCAGAATGGTTTAAAGGAACTTTCGAGGTTGCTGGCGGAGAATAGAGAGCCATGAGCATGGGAGCCACCTTCGCTGCCGGCCGTCCGTAGGGAGCCTGTGAGCAAGAGGAAGGCCCGGCTTGAGGACCAGAGCACCCCTGTGTCTCCTCCGGCCTTAAGCCAGTCCACACCTCAGACTTCCCTCATATGAGAGTAGAATGCCAACCCCACCCCGCCAGGGGATTTTAGCAAAAACTAAGCAGGTTTCTGTCACTGGCGACCATGATAAATCCCGGTTAAGAGTCTTTAAGCTACATTATAGTTAGTAGTGTCCACTTGGAGAACTGGAATCAGATGACTAACACTCTTGGGTAAAAAGTAGTTCCTGCAGTTGTTTTGCCACGTCGAAAATCCCCCAAGAGTGACTTAGCAGCCCCATGTCCCCTGGGACAAGGCCCTTTCTGTCCTTTCACCCAGGCATCATTTGTTGTGCAAATATATAACCGGTAACCCGAATTTTAAAGAGAATGTTCCACATTGAGCAATGGAAAGCTGGAGAAATTCCTCTTGCAGAGAGGCAGAGGGGTGAATAGGTAAAAATCTTTGATTGGATGCCAAGCTCCTTAAACTTCTAAATTTAAAGAATAATTACTGAAGCAAAACTTCAGCGTGAAAGTTCTAATGTGAAATGTTCTGCTATTACTGGTCTAAACAGAAATGACTTAAATATTCAGATTATAGATATTAAGATCATCAATACTGCTAAGATATAAATGACTGTTTTTATTGCTCCTACATAAAGGATTGCTTTAGGGGACTGTGGCAACGATGAAGATCAATTTGTACATTTGGCCATTAATCACCATTTCCTAATTGGGTTTAATTTGACTACTGCTCATTAGAGTTATAAACCAACACACTCGTTTAATTGCGATTCTAATTCAATAGCTGAACTTTTATGGTACAATGAACAAATTAATAACTAAAGATAATTTTGCTCTTAAAAATATCACATCGGACTTATGTTTTAATGAACTGTATATAAAGAATGTGCTTAATGATGATTTCTTCAAAAAAAAAAATTCAAGAGTTTTCCATTCTCTTAATAATCAAAAAGCAAACTTCGGACTTACGAGGCTTTGCAAACATCCTCTAAGAAAAGGTTCCCACAACCCTGCTCTCTGCTGGCAGGCCACAGCCTGTGAATGACCACTCCCCAAGGGAGTGAATAAAGGTAGTATTACAGTCTGTGTAATTACTACGGCATGGGATAAAAAATGAATTTCCTTTTTTAAAAAATATAAAGTAACTAGGCTTCTTCTTTTTTTTTTTTTTTTTGAGACAGAGTCTCACTTTGTTGCCCAGGCTAGAGCGAGTGCCAGGGCGTCAGCCTCGCTCACAGCAACCTCAATCTCCAGGGCTCAGCGATCCTCCTGCCTCAGCCTCCCGAGTAGCTGGGACTACAGGCATGTGCCACCATGCCCGGCTAATTTTTTGTATATATATTTTTAGTTGGTCAATTAATTTATTTCTATTTTTGGTAGAGCCGGGGTCTCGTTCAGGCTGGTTTCGAACTCCTGACCTTGAGCAATCCGCCCGCCTTGGCCTCCCAAAGTGCTAGGATTACAGGCGTGAGCCACCACGCCCGGCCTAGTAACTAGGCTTCTTATACATGCCGGTTTGAAAAAAAGCAATCTACAACCTAGAAGAACTTTCATGTTGAGCTTCTTTTCTTTCATTTCTTGGACTTAATTAGAAGCCACTCAATGCGGCGTGAATTTTGGCTGCCATTCCCAAACTGGAGGCTACTTCTAGGTCACTCTGATGAAAGCAAGTAAATAGTAAAGGAAAAAAGGAAAAGGAAAAAAGTGCAAAAGGCAGGTAGCTGTGAGTCTGGCATACTGGAATCAACATGGATGCCAGACTCAAGAGGGACATGGGTTCAAATCCCAGCTCCTGTAACTAGCTGCCCAGGGGGCAGTCACACTGATTCTTCAATCCTCTATAAAATGGGGATAACAACTTCTAACTCTGCACGGTTGCGGTAAGAGTGAAAAAGAATGCACATAAATGTTTAGCAAAGGGCCTGGAGTATGAGCTCAAGAAAAACTTTTCTTCCCCTTCCCTTCCTGTCTTCATGAAATTCTGTACCGAGCATTTTATAGCTGCAGCAAGTGTTTAAAATATTTAGGAATATTGTGCTTGTAAAAGACCTAGCACACATTTCTGGTGGTCATCCGTGTGAAGCGTGGAATGTGTATTTGCAATGGCTTCCTAAAAACACACTCTCTTCTTACCCTCATCTGAAATCCATATCATTCCTGGTCTACTCCTGTACTATCTGAGAAGAATTTTATTTTATAAATGTTAGGGACTGGCCTATTTTTGTGTCTGACACTGAAAGCTTAAACATGTACCAGCTTACCTTATTTTCACAACCACTCTCTGAGATTACCACTTTATTTGATTTACAACAACAACAAAAGAGCTGAGGGGCTTAGGCAGGCTAAATAACTTGCCGGAGTCTGTAGCCAGCACACGGCAGATCCAGAACTTGTAGCTAGGCCTCTCTGGGTTCCAAGGAAAGACTATCGTAGCCTTTCTGAGTCTGACTACAGAATCTCTGAAATATGCTCAAGAGAAAATATTATACCGTCCACCTCGGTCCACAACTTGGTGTGTTTGCACATAATGATTCACCCTATTTCCCAATTCAATGGCAAATTTCCATTTCCCGACAGCTCGAGACATGCTACACGAAATGCAAGACGGAGTGAAACATCCTAAGAAAGACAAGGATCATGGAGCTTACGTTCTGGTACCACTATCCTATCCACCTGCTATCCCACCCTGTGGCCATCATCTCCCTCCGACCATCACGCTCGCTAGGTTTTGCTATCAAATTAGTAAGAACTTATTGAATAATTGCTGTATGCAAGACAGTGCAACGGCGGCAGGTACTGAGATACAAAGCAGTTGCTTACACTCTACAAGTACCTGATGGATAGGAGAAACCTTTCCCCACCAAAAGGTGCTACCTCCTCCTACCTGAAGCAGCAGCCGCTGACCACGTGAGGTGAAAAGAGTTAAATTGGGGGCATCGGAGGCTTCACGAAGGGGACATAAGGCCAGGGCGGGACACAGGGTGAAATTATATACAGACTTGGGAAAGCTGCAAAGTTACAGAGAGTTCCAGGTCCATAACAGCAGGTGCACTCATTGCACTTAAATGCAGTGGCTCCCATTTCCACCCAAATCTTTAGCTTGGTAGCAACATGATGGCCTGAAAGGGCAAGCGTGTGTTGTGTGTGTGTTGTGTGTGTTGTGTGTGCACATGTGTGATGGTGGGGGTGGGAAGAGAGGAGGTGCATGTATGTCTCTAGGTAAAACAAGAAGTAGCTTCCTCTGAGGCCTGGCATCTGGCTACAAACAAACCAAAGTGCTCCAATGTTCAACCTCACCATGGGAGTATCTGAAACTACAGCAGGAATTAAATTACTGAGAGAAATTAATGCAAAGCTGCTGCTACAGTCTTTTGTGCAGTTTAATTTATAGTTTGCAAAAATAATTATAACACATTCATTTGTTTTCTCTCTCTCTTGTTTTTTTTTTACCTTGTCCTTCTGGAGTTTCACCAAAGGGATTCACTTCCACCTGAGTAGCGTCAACTTTCAAGAAGAGATTATACAGCTTCTTAATTTGATCCGCAGCCTAGATGTGATCAAGCGAAATGGAATTACACCAGAGCAGTAAAAGAAAATTTATTTTGCTGGATTAATGAAATCTTAAAAATAGCAAGTTATGTCTTTATTTTCAGTTAGGTTTTCTGAAAGGGAAAACAGAAAAACACAATTATTTTAATTTCCGCTGCTATTCATTAGAGGGAATTACTCAAGTCTCCTCCAGACGCCAGAAAAGAACATTATCGAGAAAACAAAATATTTTCGGTACAGCCTAAAATGCTGTTAATCTTTTTGTAAATTATCATGTCCCTATTAGCAGAGTTATGCTGCAATATAAGCTGCGATCATTAATACAAACAAGCTCCATTTAAGTAAAAGGTAAACATGATTTTGAGAGTTTATAATGACTAGGTTTCCCTTATTATGCTGGAATAAAACGGTTATTATATTCATCAATCCAACCCATAATCCGTGAGACAATTACCAAGCGTCTAATGGAAACCGTTACACAACAGGAAGATGAAAGTTTTTAACAGCACACTTCAAACTGAAAACGGTCTGTCCCAAAGGCATTAACCAGAACGGGCAAGAATCTGCAGGTTTCCCTCGTGTTTTATTTTGTTTTGTTTTGTTTTGTTTTTTTTTTTTGAGACAGAGTCTCGCTTTGTTGCCCAGGCTAGAGTGAGTGCCGTGGCGTCAGCCTAGCTCACAGCAACCTCCAACTCCTGGCCTCAAGCGATCCTCCTGCCTCAGCCTCCCGAGTAGCTGGGACTACAGGCATGCGCCACCATGCCCGGCTAATTTTTTGTATATATTTTTAGTTGGCCAACTAATTTCTTTCTATTTTTAGTAGAGACGGGGTCTCGCTCTTGCTCAGGCTGGTTTCAAACTCCTGACCTCGAGCGATCCGCCCGCCTCGGCCTCCCAGAGTGCTGGGATTACAGGCGTGAGTTTCCCTCGTGTTATATGCCTCTGACTCCATTTTTCTCACTCTGCTTGAAATTCACTCATTCATTGGATCTTTGCAAGCCAACACTTATCCACTGCCTATGACATGCCTGGCTGGTGCCTTGTGAGCTGGGACTGCAGAGGGGAACACGGATGGACCACAGCCCCACCCTGGAACGCTCACGCCTACGATGGACAGAGCGCGTAATGGATAGAGCGCGTGGTGGACAGAGCGCCTGATGGACAGAGCACCTGATGGACAGAGCACCTGATGGACAGAGCACCTGATGGACAGAGCACGTGATGGACAGAGCACCTGATGGACAGAGCACGTGATGGACAGAGCACCTGATGGACAGAGCACCTGATGGACAGAGCGCCTGATGGACAGAGCGCCTGATGGACAGAGCGCCTGATGGACAGAGCGCCTGATGGACAGAGCACGTGATGGACAGAGCACGTGATGGACAGAGCGCGTGATGGACAGAGCGCGTGATGGACAGAGCGCGTGATGGACAGAGCGCCTGATGGACAGAGCACGGGATGGACAGAGCACGGGATGGACAGAGCACCTGATGGACAGAGCGCCTGATGGACAGAGCACGTGATGGACAGAGCGCCTGATGGACAGAGCACCTGATGGACAGAGCACCTGATGGACAGAGCACCTGATGGACAGAGTACCTGATGGACAGAGCGCCTGATGGACAGAGCACCTGATGGACAGAGCACGTGATGGACAGAGTGCGTGATGGACAGAGCACCTGATGGACAGAGCACCTGATGGACAGAGCGCCTGATGGACAGAGCACCTGATGGACAGAGCACCTGATGGACAGAGCACGTGATGGACAGAGCACGTGATGGACAGAGCGCCTGATGGACAGAGCACCTGATGGACAGAGCACGTGATGGACAGAGCACCTGATGGACAGAGCACGTGATGGACAGAGCACCTGATGGACAGAGCGCCTGATGGACAGAGCACCTGATGGACAGAGCGCCTGATGGACAGAGCGCGTGATGGACAGAGCAGGACGGGACGATCAGGGCTGAACACCAGGCCTCGGTCTCCTTCCTGCCTCCACTTCTTGTCCCAGCCATGGGAACAATGAGCAAGGTGACTCCAAAGGCCTAAACCACATCTTGGGTGAAAATGAAGTACCTTTCAAAGTCACACTGAACACCATTTCCTTATGAACGTCTCCCTACATGTACAAAGATATGTACAAAGATATGGATTTTATATAAATATAAATAACACAAATATATATTACAGGCTGGGCGCGGTGGCTCACGCCTATAATCCTAGCACTCTGGGAGGCC